AAATTGAATTGTTGTTTAATTTGAAATTGTCGACATTCGCTAGAAATTATTATTCAAGTATCGAAACATTCCAGGAAGATATTCTTCTATTATTTATATATATACTATTATATTTTGTTGTTTGTTTCGTTACTATGTTTTGTGCTCGAGTTGAGAATCGTTGGGAAATATGGAAACGTTTAAAAAAAGGAATACAATTTTATTAGTATATGTAAGGTTAGAGTATAAGGATATTTAAAAGAGACACAACTTTATTATGACGGATTATGTTAGCGAGTCAGCGTGTGCGAGATTATTGATATTTAATAAGAATTAATTGAAATATGAAAATGTTTAAAAGAAGTGCGGTTTTATGACGTTGTATTTAACGATACGAGAATTTATCTATGTAGAGGGGTCGGTCGACAATTAAATAAAAAATTTATAGCTTGTTTAACATTGGAAAATTATGTGAATGCCACGCGAAGGTGTGAATCACGTCCTGTAAGGAGAAAAACCCGTCGAGGCTGAGTTAAGGGGAATGCGAGGAATTGCCATAAGCAAGTAGAGTATCGGACAGCGTCAGACCAAAGTGTCAGACATCTAGGATCTCCTGAATAAGACTACCTGTCGTCGTTATATTTATTCACGAGGAAAGTTGTCCATTTTCCGGAAGAGACCGTACAACGAGGCATAAACGTCTAAGGTATCGTTGAAATCATTTATCTTCATTTCAGACCATTAACATACGCGGATTTTTATTACCTCTGCGTACTTGATTTATGGTTCTACGAAGATCTAGACATTCGATTTACCATAACTTAGCTTGGATATCTAAAGGATATATCGTATCATGTTGCGCTAAGAATTATTTATTTCGATCCCTGTAAATTTCATTCACACTGAGACCGTCGGTTATCAGTTGACATAGGTACACGAAATTCCGAAACTTTTATCATTGAAATTTCATTTACTACGGGAAACGTTTGATGGAAGTAATTGAATAATTGAAAGTCATTGGGAAATAGTTGTGAAATAGCTGTAAATAATTGAGAATAATGGGATATCGTTAGATTTACCGGTAAAATAATTGAAAATACTTGAAAAATACTACGAAATATTTCAAGATACTCAAAAATAAGTGCAAATAATTACAGATAATTGTGCAATAATTGAAAATTCTTGACGAATACCTTAAAATTCTCAAAAATAATTAGAAATAATTAGAAATAATTGTGAAATAATTGAAAATACTAGAGCAATATTTCAAAATACGTCGAAACACTGGAAAATAATTGGAAATAATTAGAAATAACTGTGAAATAATTGAAAATACTGAAAAATAATTGCAATATTTCAAAATACGTCAAAATACTGAAAAATAATTTGAAATAATTAGAAATAATTGTGAAATAATTGAAAATACTTGAGGAATACTGAAAAATAATTGGAAATAATTAGAAATAATTGTGAAATAATTGAAAATACTTGAAAAATATTTTCAAATACTTCGAAACAATGAAAAATACGTTAAAAATACTCGAAAATAATTGAAAGTAATTCGAAATAATTGTAAAATAATTGAAAATACTTGAAGAATACTATAAAATAATTTGAAATAATTAGAAATAATTGTGAAATAATTGAAAATACTTGAAAGATATTTTAAAATACTTCGAAACACTGGAAAATAATTGGAAATAATTGAAAATACTTGAGGAATACTGCAAAATAATTGGAAATAATTAGAAATAATTGTGAAATAATTGAAAATACTTGAAAAATATTTTCAAATACTTCGAAACAATGAAAAATACGTTAAAAATACTCGAAAATAATTGAAAGTAATTCGAAATAATTGTGAAGTAATTGAAAGTAATTCGAAATAATTGTGTAATAATTAAAAATAATTAGAAATAATTGAAAATACTTGAGAAATATTTTCAAATACTTCGAAACAATGAAAAATACGTTAAAAATACTCGAAATAATTGTGAAATAATTGAAAGTAATTCGAAATAATTGTGAAATAATTGAAAGTAATTCGAAATAATTGTGAAGTAATTGAAAGTAATTCGAAATAATTGTGAAATAATTAAAAATAATTAGAAATAATTGAAAATACTTGAGAAATACACGAAAACAATTGGAATTAATTCGAAATAATTGTAAAGTACGTAAAAACGAAAGAAAAATAACGAAAGATTCTTCTATTCATGAAACGTCGAATATTCGATCAAAGTTATCGGTTCGAGGGTTTTCGTCTCTAATCGAAATACAGCATCGAGAGCTCCCGGGGTCTGATTCGGTCGAAGGCAAACAAATCCTAAAAATCCGTACCGCGGACGTCCCACGTCCAGCGGCGGCGTCACTAATCACAGTGCCAAGTGATTCCAGCACGAGAGCCGCGAGAATACTCGCAGCCCAGAAGCAGACGCAACACATTTCTCGCCTATTAAGGCCGTCCCACCCACGCTCAGTCCGGCAAAGATTTCCGCCTCGCGGAAATCCACGTCGCCTGTTCGCTGTTGGAGACCGCTTCTGGGTGAAATAGTGTTCCTGAGAAAAACTCCACGATCCAAGGGGATTTCCTTTTTCTCACCCCCACCCCCCACCCCCCACCCACTACCCCATCTACTCTATTCTTTGTCTTTTCCAGCGCTACTCTTCTGCAGTGCTTGCTTCCGTCGCTTCCTGTGTCACACGCCGTTGAGCACGCTCCAACCCCTTGTTCTTAGGGAAGAGGGCACACCAGCGACACTCTTCGCACGTCCGGCACCACGGAAAGTGCCCTAATTGTTGATACAACATGGGTCATACCGAGGCGATCCACCCCGGTAGGATTCGGAGGGTGGCTCGAGTGGGCCACCCAAACTGTTTGAGAAAGCTAGAAATTACGGGACGCGGGAGCAATGTTAAATTTGGAAATATTAAAGGAACTCGTTCGGGTCGTTTGCTGGGCTCGTTGTGGCAAACTGTGCGACAGTTAACTGAGGAATTTACGTCGATTGAACTGTTTATATTGATACTTCGTTGAAATTCTTGGGGTTTTTGTTTTTTTCGTTTATTATTATATTATTGTTTTTTAATTTTTATTTCATTTGTTGTTTAGACTTTTTGAAAATAGTTGATGTTTATTGAAGGATCGTTTAATACAGACTACTATAAAATAATCATACTATTATATGATGAATAATATACACACAACAACAATAATAATATTGTAATAATAATTTGTTATCATATTATTGTTTTTAAATTTCTATTTTATTTGTTGTTAAACATTTTTAGAAATAGTCCACGTTCGAAGGACTGTTTAATGCAGACTACTATAAAATAATCATACTATTATATTATAGAATGAATAATATCCATATAACATATTTACAAATGATATATTTTAACACATCTGGTTCAAGAAACTATTTTTAAATATCGTAATGCACTCCATGAAGTAGAGAATCATATACCATTAAAATTTCTCATTCTAAATCTCTCCAAATCGTAATTTAAAAATCACAGACGCCGATTGCAACCAGTCATTAAATACGACATAATCGCGTCATCATTTCTCCAAAATTGATTTCAACAGAAAGAAGTCCGAACAACGCACGTCGGTTACGTGGAAGACTCCCGGAGACTTAGCGCACGTATTTGTCTGCGAAGTTCTTGAAAAGTGTGCCAGTCTCGGATGGTTGGCGATCGAGGACCGTGCGGAAATGTCGCAGGAAACGCAAGTTCCTGTACCGAAGAAGAAAGAACGATGATGGAGAAAGATCCTAGGAATTAGGTTCCACGGTGGACGGACGACAATGGATTTCGAGAGGCTGGTAGAACGACAATGGCAATCCGATATTACGTTACCGACCCCTGCTACACATTCTCTCTACCCTGCGAAGCGATGATCGGTGGCTTCGACGGTGGCCAAAGAACGACCTTTTGCCTCCGGTATTTATCCAGCGAAAGCTTTTATTATGTGAATCTCGTATCCGTCGTTTAATACCCGACCTCCTTTGTCGGTTCTCCCTTTTCAAAAACATTGTATCGAGTGGCATGATCGCGGAAAAAGGATCTCTACCGCATGTGTCTCTTCGATCCCTCCGCCTTCTTCTCTTCGTCATGCTTTTCTCCAATTTCTTATTACTTCCACCGGAAGTTTATTACTCTAGCTCTCTGTCGCGCAAACTTTCTTATTTCAAGGCAATTCAGTTGAGGATCGCCCGACATACGAACACAAGGGGTTGAAGCAACCTTTTCGTAACATTTTTTTACTCCCCATACCTTTTTGTAACGTAGAATGATCAATAATCTTCGTTAAAGGACTTTTAGTTAACGAAAATGTTGTTTTGTTTCGCTTATGAATAAACAATTTTAATATCAATGATAGCAACAACGTGGCATCGTATTTTTCGTGCAAAACCGAATCGAAAGTTCCTTTTCCATTTTTCAATCTGAACTCTCGTTACCGAGATATGAGCGGTTCAAGTTTTTACGCGGGAAATGCATGCGCAGTGCCCTCTGCGCAGCCACGTGGTCAGCTGACTGGGATGCAGATGGCGCGCATCGTTACATGAACAAACTTTAATTGCTCGGTAACGAACCGTTGGAATTGAAAATGACAAAGAACTTTTCGATTCCTTTTTCATTCGTTGAATTTATCCTAACAATAAATCCCGTGTTTTTGTTAGCAATCGTTATATGCAGGTCGGAATAGAACAAAGTATAACTCTGGGGAAATTTAGAAAATAGTAAACACGGTTGGAAACGTAACTAAGTGATGTACAAGTATCGAAGATGGGTAAAATTCGATTATTTCGATGTACGATGTTCCTTCCCATAAATAACCAACAATTTACACTTCTAGTAGTAAAACAGAAAGTTACCAAAGCGTCTCGAGGATACTGTAACCCCCAAAAGAAATTCAGAGAGGATTCTGTGGTTAGGTGGCAGAAACGATCGACCAAACGAGATCTCACGAACGAAATATGGATGCTATGGCAAGTGTATGATCGATTACTTACATTGTGGAGCTTGTAGTAGAGGCCGCACGCGTTGCAGACTGGTTCCCCTGCCTGATTCCTCCGCCATAGCGTGGTGGTCGCAGTCTTGCAGTTGGCGCAGCTGGTGCCCGCCCGCCTCGCCGCACTCTGCAGCGACAGTTTTGGAAAAAAAACAAACAGATATCACATCCGTAACGGCAACATCCACCGATTGATTGCATCCACCAAATTAATTACAGAGAAATGTAATTGGACTTCCCCCAAATGTATTAAGAGGTTACGTTACTCATTAATATAAATTGTTATTGTTTGGGAATTAATTGCAGGAAAACTAGAACTTCAAATGGATTGCGCTCTTAGTATGTGAATTTGTACGTTCTGCAGAGTGCAAATATATTTTTGTTTCTTCCAAAAGACCGTTTTTGACAAAATGGCGGTCCTACATAAAGTACTGTGGTTTTATAATGCCCATAATGCTTCAAGCATCTTCACCCAGAATTTTAATACTCAGCAAATACGATACAAACTTCGACGATATATAAATTTTGAGGTTATGTTCAAACATTAGAAGGATAGAAGACATCCTCCACCCCTCCCACCATGCAAATAACCACTCACACACCGTAAAATTTCCAATGGGCATGTTACGTGGTCCCTGGAACCCTCCTTTCAGGGATCTTTCATCCCTCGTCGCGTCAGAGGTTTTCGAGGTCGAGTAATCGATCGAGGAATTCTATTCTTACGGTCGAGCTGCTTCCAGAATCGAGAAGCCACAAACTGAGACGGGATCGCGTGAAATCGGCCGCCCTTAATCCCCGATTCGACCGGATTCGGGTAGAAACGTGAACCCGTGTTTTTACCTGTGGCCCACAGAACATTCCCCCCGCACCCCTCCCGTCATCTGACCTGCGAACGGATCGAAAACGATCGCAGGTACACCTGTTTGCCGCGTTCTCGGTTGGCAAACACTTAAACGAAAAAAAGGGGGGATTTGTCGTGCACCCCGTCGTGCCACCTTGCTTCGCACCCTCTTCTCAGAGGGTCGAACGGAAATCTTGTTTCGATGATTTATCAACAAAATTCGATTATCCATTTCGCTACCTAATTTTCTACGTTGGCATCCCTGACAACGATATTTATTAATTTTCTTTTTTTTTTTTTTTTTTTCTGAAAAATACGAGTGACTTTCCGCCCTCCGTCGATTTCGAAGTTCCGACGAAAAAATCGTAACTTTCCGATCCGGTGAACGGATCTCAACGATCGACACGAGAAACCGCGTGCAATTGGACGAAGGATTTTTTAAAAATACGAAACTATCGAAAGAACGTATTTCTGGGTAATTTTCGAAAATTCCTAGCTCTGTCGATAGTAAACATTCTGGATCGAAACATTCTCGAGGTACCAGATAGAATTAGATTCTCGCGATATAATTAGGGGAGAAACTAGACAGTTTGTCCCTGACGTGAAATCCGAATTTAAAAAAAAAAGAAAAAAACAAAGAAAAACGAAAGGACGACTTTTCATCGTCCACGTTTCGTAAGGTTCGCGGCACATTGCGCGCCCAGTTTAATCCACGCCTCCTCCTCGCCCCTAATCGCGTTATATTCCATTTGCTAACGATCCCCCGGCGAACCAGCCAGCAAAAATTCGTTTCTCCCCCCGTTTAATAACCATTAGCCTGAGAAGCTGCTGCCATCGACGATTTTCAGGCTACTCTGTCCCCCCCCCCCCCCCCCTTCCACCTTCCCCTCCACGCCACCCCCACCCTCTACCACTCTCGCCCTCGTCCACTTCTGTCCGCGAAGGTGAAAGGCTGGACGGGCGAGGGTGTCAAAGATCTAGAACAGATAGGAGCCTCTATATTGATGAGGTGGCTCTCCGCGTATTGATTCCACGCGGAGAGGTTTTCGCCGGGGCCCGGAGCACCCTGCAGACCCCTTTTGCTACGCGCAAGGGTTGATAAGATCCGACAGATAAGGCATGATTACACACCGCGTCGCCCCAAAACCCCTTCTCCCCGCGTCGCGTTCTTCTCGTTCGTTGTCCCACGGGCTTGCCTTCTGACCCCCTCCTCTCCCCCCCTCTCCGCCCCGTACCTCGCGGCCAACAGTGTAAACAGTCCCTTAGGTTGATGGCCGGCTCGCCTCGGCGAGGGTTTTCGTGTCGTCCCGACATTTACTTCTGAATCATCCGGAAGAGTGACGGGGGGAATATTTTGCGGTGTGATTCAACGACGCGAGGATTGGGTGAGTTTTGGGGAATCTTATCTGGAACACCTGACCGTAGATCGGTTAATTGTTATTTGGTAGGTTAACAATGACGATTTAAGGGATTTAGGGGTCGTTAGGCGTGCGATTGGTAGGTAGTTTGATCTCATTTAGTTTATTTATTAACGATTTCGAAGGAATTGATAACTCGGTATGTTCACTGTTTTATTAATTTTTTGGCTCAACAATTCTGGAGTGCGGGTAGCAGTAGGGAATGTGTTGATAAAAGGGTGGAATTGTTTGCGCAAACCTACCAGATGCGAGCCTGCTGCTATCGAAAGGGCATAAATAATTCCACAGATTTGTTAATATTTACCCTCGACAATTTCAAAGTTTTTATAGCGGTAGACTTGTATCTGGTAGGTTTGCTGAAAGGATTCCACAATTTTGTCAACTTTATTCTGAACAATTCCAGCAGTGGAGAGTTTGCGCAAACAATTCCATTCTTTTATCAACATTAACCTCCACAATTCCAGTGTTATGTCAACAATACCCTCAACAATTCTAGACTTTCCATAGCAGGAGCCATGCATCCGGTAGGTTTGCACAATCAATTCCACCCTTTTATCAACAACAACCTCCACAATTCCAGTGTAATGTCAAGACTAACCTCAACACTAATCTCAACAGTGCCAAACTTTCCATAGCAATAGGTTCGTGATCAGTAACTGTGCACAAACAATTCCACCTTACTATCAACATTAACCTCAACAAATTCTAAACTTTCCACAGCAATACGCTTGCATCTGGTATGTTTGCACAAACAATTCCACCCTCTCATCAACACTAACCCCAACAATTCCAAACTTTCTCCAGCATTATTCTTGTACCTAATATTTGTGCTTAGACAGTTCCAAATTTTCCTCGACACCGATCCCGAACCGATTTCATTTTTCCCATACCGCACTCGTCTCCCCTTCCCCGTCCACGTCGCCAAAAGTTCAATTTTCCTCGAAAAAAATCGTTCGCAGGTTTCCTTGAGCGTTCCTCGATGAACTTCGAATACAAAACGGGAACCACCGAATCGAAAGTTCGCGACTGTACGAAAATCGTCATTGTACCGTCCCGGGGGACAAAGGGCCTCGAGTACTCTCGAACGAGAAACAGGAAGACACTCCGCGTCAGAGACGCACAAAAAAAAAAATAATACAGTAGCAAAGGACACTTTATATTCGTGGACACGCGCACGAAACGTATTGTGACGCGACTCACGGCGGGATGGCACAAAGGGGGTGCAATTTCAGGGGCCGGCGCTATTTCGTTTTCGCTCAAACAGGTTTCAATCGCTTTTCCATTAGCTACTGAGTAGAGCTTCCCTTGTAGTTTCGCCGACAATGCTCCAGGTACGCTTTTCCACTCCTCTATCTTTTCGGGAGGGGGATGGTGACACTTTTGACGGGGGGTTAAGTGGTCTATGAATAGTAGGGTGTTCCTTATTTCAATGATCTTTGAAATGTACGTCAAGCAGCCTCTAAATATCTTGCAAATACATCGAAAAAGAATTCTTCCAAATTGTAATATTAACACATGCATTTTATAACTGCTTCAAAATTGGTGAAATTATTTTATGTTCGTGCAGAATTCTTAATTCTAATGATAGGAAGAAGCTCTATGTATTTGAAATTATGATCTCGATTATTTTCTTATATATCGGCCTTGTAAACGTGAAGCTATTTTCTCTAGTTAAAATATTTTTGTAGTCCTATTTGAAATGCTTCGAATTTGAAATTATTGCACCCGAAAATTTCTAAGAATTTTATCCATTTATGTCAGCAATTTCAGGAATTCACAAAGTCCGACGATTTGTAAACACTCAGTGTGATTTCAGAAATTCTATTCTGGCAATTCCACATGTTGTTGCATTCCTGCAATAGGAATTCCTTCAATATATACAAACAAGAATTTCGACGCTAAGAATTCCCGAGAATTCTATCCATTTATAGCAGCAATTCCAGGAATTCATGATTTTTTACGATTTGTTAGCATTCAGAAAGATTTGAAGAATTCTACCTTGAGAATTCCAAATATTCTTACATCTCTGCAATAGGAATTCCTTCAATACATACAAACAAGAATTTTGGCACTAGAAATTCCCGAGAATTCTATCATTGTGTGGCAGCAATTCCGGGAATTCACAATTTCCCACGATTTCTCAACATTCAGAAAGATTTAAAGAATTCTCCCTTGGCAATTCCAAATATTCTTGCATTCCTCCAATAGGAATTCCTTCAATCTATACAATTGCGATACTATAAATTCCCGAAAATTGTATCGGTTTTAGTCGGCAATTCCAGGAATTCATAATATCCGACGATTTCTAAACATTCAGAGTGATTTCAGGAATTCTGCCCTGGCAATTCCAAATGTTCTTGCATTCCTGCAGTAGGAATTCCTTCGATACATCCAAACAACAATTTTCACACAAAGAATTCGCGAGAATTCTATCCATTTATGCTCGCAATTCCAGGAATTCACAATTTTCGACGATTTCTCAGCATTCAGAAAGATTTAAAGAATTCTTCCTTGGCAATTCCAAATATTCTTGCATTCCTGCAATAGGAATTCTTTGGATACATCCAAACAACAATTTTCACACAAAGAATTCGCGAGAATTCTATCCATTTATGCTCGCAATTCCAGGAATTCACAATTTTCGACGATTTCTCAGCATTCAGAAAGATCTAAAGAATTCTCCCTTGGCAATTCCAAATATTCTTGCATTCCACCAATAGGAATTCCTTCAATCTAAACAAACTGCAATTGCGATACTATAAATTCCCGAAAATTGTATCGGTTTTAGTCGGCAATTCCAGGAATTCATAATATCCGACGATTTCCAAACATTCAGAGTGATTTCAGGAATTCTGCCCTGGCAAATTCCAAATGTTGTTG